CCTGGAGCCTGCTTCAAATTCTGTATCTCCCTCTCTCTGCCCCTTCCCTGCTCATGCTCTGTCTCTGTCTCTCTCACGAAAATGAATAAACATTAAAAAAAATTTCGTTTTAAAAAGATAAGTCCTTCCCTATTCCTGAGAGTTCTGGAAATGGAATAATTGGAAACTACATTACTTGGAAACTCACAGCTGCAAAGCTTCTTCATTAGATGAGGCAACCATTTACACAACTTCAGCAGGTCCTGGGGATGTTTTCCGAGGTTGCATGTGGACCCTCCACAAGGACATAACACTATAGGTTATTGCTGGAAGCTGCTCCCCTCCCCTTTCCCCAAAGTCAAAAAAGAGAAATGAAAGCTTGCTCAAAAGTCTGTAGCGAAGTCAAGATGTAGAAGGAAAATACCTGTGACTTCTTCCCCCTCTACACTGACATCGTTTCTAGGGCTCAAAAACACTGATGCTGTTTTCTGTTTCGTATAGAATGGAACTCTGAAGATCATTGACCGTAAAAAGAACATTTTCAAGCTGGCCCAAGGAGAATACATTGCTCCAGAGAAGATAGAAAATATCTACATCAGGAGTAGTCCGGTGTTGCAAGTTTTTGTGCACGGGGATAGCTTACGGGTAATATACTGTTTTAACATTAGCCATTTTCAGGCACAGGCCATGCCCGTTCTTGTAGCTACAGGAAATCTGTATAAATGGGATTAGGATGAAAAGATTTGAGTTTATAAAACCGAAGAAATGAAGCCACAGTTCAACCCTCAAATAAGGCAATACAATGTAAAAAACAAAAATGGTTTAACTATGATGGCATCTGTAAACAGATGGCATCTGTTGTCATGGTTACACCAATGGGTAGTCATTTGATAAGAAACAGCCCCATGTCACACTTAGTTCCCACTACAGTGGGAGTTCCTCTGGAGCTACAAACTATATATACTGTGTGTAAACTTAGCTTTTGGGGAGTGGGCAAGGGTTGGCAAAGAAGCCAGAGATGCTTTAGGCTTCAGGCTGAACACTGTTTCTTTTTGAGTAATCGATATCGAATAGAACATTTTTGTAAAAAGATATTGAGTAGGAAAATGGGATCAGAGTTCGATGAAGGTTTTAAATGTATGGTGAGAAAAGAGTTGGACACTATATTGAGCTGAGGTCTTGGGAAGTATCTATTACAAAGATATAATCCTGCTGTTGTCATCCAATGTGGGACACCGCTATCCTAGCTCTCACGTGTTCTTGTTCCTGGTTTGCCTTCCACAGTCCTCCTTAGTGGGAGTGGTGGTTCCTGACCCAGAAGTGCTGCCCTCCTTTGTAGCCAAACTTGGGGTTAAAGGCTCCCTTGAAGAACTGTGCAAAAACCAAGTAAGTCTTGCTTAAGAAAGTTCTATGCATACCCACAGGGCCCACCGTGGGAGAGTAAAGGCCCCACCAACTCAGGCACCAATGATGCCATCCTCTCTGGAAGGACTGGCTGTTCTTGAACTTAGGATAGGTGGCTGTAGCTGAAATTGACTGGTTTTATTAGATAGGAGGATAGGATGGGATGGGGAGTTAAAAACAAACGACAGCAAAAACACTCTATTCTTTTTAAAGTATGAATGTGGAGAATAGAGAATCAAAAAATACCATCCAGAGAAAATTTGCTAACATTTAGATTTGCCTTTCCTTCTCATTAGTCTTTTGAGCATTATTAAGCATAAAATGTGCTTGTACATACATACACCTATATCCTGCTTTTACCCTGATGACCTTTTGTAGGCATTTTGAGTTGGTTCACGCTTAGCTTTTCTTGTGGTCTCTTTTTCAAAGAGCCATGCTTTAAGCTTGTTTTCTCTTCTTAGGTTATAAATAAAGCCATTTTAGAAGACTTGCAGAAAATTGGGAGAGAAAGTGGTCTTAAATCCTTTGAACAGGTATGTACTACTGAGGTTGTCTAGTTATCTCAAGTCATACTAGAAAGTTCTAAAGTTTGCATTTATAACGGGGTTTTAATGTAGTTCCCAAGGAATTGATTTGAGATTTTGTACCATTAATGCATTAAATACAAATGGCAGTGACTTTTTATAGTTGCTTGTAGAGTCCTTTTTGCTGTCAGTTATCCGTTCTCCCCTCTCGTTTCCCAAATTATCAGTTTGGGAATGGGCATGCGTTACTGTTGTCTTTATCCTTACTTCATCAACCCCACTTTTATAAAGTTCTTCACATAGCACGCAGAAGTCTCTGCAGAAAAGTCTGAATTACTAATAAACGTGTGTGTGTGTGTATCTTCTCTTCCAGGTCAAAAGCATCTTTCTTCATCCAGACCCATTTTCCATTGAAAATGGGCTCTTGACCCCAACATTGAAAGCAAAGCGTGGAGATCTTGCCAAGTACTTTCAAACCCAAATCAATAGCCTGTATGAAAATATCCAGGAGTAGGGTAAGGTACTTGGCAGCTGGACGGGGCTCAGTGGTAACCTGCCTTGTAGGAGTATAGACTATGGATAAATACTAATCTTATGTTCATTTTTTGTCTTTCCTCCTATTTTACCTACTAAATTAATAAAAACCATAGTTTGGGGGCTTTTAAAAAATATTGAGAGACTTATCATGTGAACGCTCAGCCCTGAACTAAACAAATTTGTCCTTTCCATCTTAAATATTGCTGACATTTAGGTTTTGGGTCTACTTTTATCAGCATACCTTTATTCAAGGCCCATTTGTCATTCTTTGTCCCTCCCCCACGATCTCTAGCCTAAGTGACCACTAGTTCAAGAGCCAAAATGACTTCTTCCTTATAGTTTTACAGTAAGCCTAACTTGTTGACAGTCCCAACACTTAGGCCTTCCGATGGTTCAAACGAAGAGACCTGTAAGCTCTCAAAAGTGGTTTGTAATTCATGTTTTCTAACGATTCCACAAAACCACTGAAATTTTTAATCAAATAACTAATATTAAGAGACAAACTTCTATGTACTTCTGTGTACACTAACATCTGTCAACAGAAGGGAAGTGTGATCATACTGAACATTTCCTAAACTTACTGGTTTCTCTGACTGGGGAGAATTAAAAAAAAGTGGGCCTGTAACCTGTCCAAAAAGAATGTTCATGAAGTGTTCTCTCCAGTAGTATCTGGTGACTAAATCTGTTCTTTACAGTTTGCTGCTGAGCCGGAAGCTACAGGGGAAGGAGTTTAAACTTATGTCAAGTGCACTTTTCCAGTAAATGAAGCTAGCACTGAGGAAAAGCCTCCTGAACTGGGAACAAAGGCCTATGGACAAGCATGAGGCCTTCACAACAGGCTTATCTTCTGGGAAGGAACTGACTGATCTTTACTGGACTCCAGTTCCTGCTGTACCTCACCCTCAGACAACACATGTTGCTTCCACTTGTAAAGTCTTTAAAATAAACCACTGCAAACACTTACATTGTGGGGTGTGCTTCCTCACGGACCGTGATGAGAATCAGAATCAGCCTTAGACAAGGACCGCTTAAAACAGTGGCTCCCAAACTGGGCTGCACACTAGAATTCCCTGAGGGGTTTAAAGAGATACTAATAATGGCTGGGTGTCTCCCTAAGGATTCTGACTGAAATGGTCTGGGGTACAGCCTGGGCATTGGGATTTTCAAAAGGTCCCTAGGTGATTCTTGTATGCAACCAGGATTGGTGGCTACTGAAGGCAATGTCTAGAGAACCAGGCCTTCTCATCCCACAGCTATGAATGATAAAATAAATACCAGCCGAGTCCCAACTCCAACCAAGCACATAATTCATCATTGCATCTTTTACCATCTTTGGTGTGTTCTAAGTAGACTTGAACAGTGTTCCTTTCTGTCCTCTAACTGGAGGTAAGAAGAATGTTCCTGGATGGTCTTTCTAGACCCTGAGCCCAGAAAAGCTGAATGTCTGTTCTTGAGTATCTGAAACAAAGGAAGGCAAGAATTAACTTACAGGTCCCTCCATGGCCTGGCTCCTATTACCTCCTTGACCTCTTCTCCTCTCAACTCACTGATTCCAACTAAACCACACTGGCTGCCTTCCCATTCCTCAAACATGCCAGGCACATCCCCGCCTGTTGTTCTGGCTATTCCCTCTGCTTAAAATGCAAGCTGCTCCCAGAGGCACATGATTGTCCCCTCAATTGCTTCAGGTCCCTTCCATCAGACCATCTTACCCGGTTTCTTCATAATCAATGGTTCCATGTGATGCACGTTTTGCTTCTCTGTCCACCTCCCCACCTATCACTAGAATGGGACAGAGTCACGTTTTATTCACTGCCAAGACCCCAAGTGCCCTTTCCCAAGTGCTGTTACATGCCTGATCCCCCCCCCCCCCAGAGCTCAAATTCCCTGCCTTGGAAATAATTAGTATCAGAGTAGGTGACTTCTATAATTCTACTTGTGTTAGACAAGCCCAACTTTAAGCATCCAAATCCACCAGCTTAGGTCCTACCAGTCACATAAGCTTCAGGCTTTGATAGATTCAAGCACACATGAGCAGCTGGCGCTCACTAGGTTGAAAGTTTCCTAGAATGCTGTGATCTCAATATGCCATTAATAGGGTTCACTTAATGAACAAACAGCTCAAAGATGCAAATTTTTCACACGGTTGTAAAGAAGTTTTTCCATAAAGAGCTAAGACAAACCTTTTTAGTCAGCCAAAAGAAACTAGTAAAAACTAGATTTATACAGAACATCCATTGATCTTTATTTGATTTGACAAAATCTGCATTATTAAAAGACAGGTAATAAAATTTAAGCTTATATTGAATCTTACATATTATGTTCTATAGTATCTAGAATATCACATAAGAAATGTCAACTGAGGGGGAAACAGGATAAAAGCATCACATGCAGATGCTCCTGGCAAAGGGGGAACTGTATCTGCAGGTGAGGTCCGTAGTGTGCAGCGCATAAAAAAAGTCCTAGAGAAAATGCAACCGACTTACTTGGGTGAAGTGTTTTTCCTTTTGGGGAGAGGAAGAGGTGGCAAAAGGGGTAAGAATTCAAAGGCATATGCAGAATGGCTTCTCCATTTCAAAATGTAATAAAAATATTTAGATTATGGCACTAGGGCACCTTTGAGGAAAAGAACACCTTAACCAGAGTAGGCTCATTGCATAATTCTTTAGTAATCTGTACAGTTTTCAAGTAATGGAGAGGACTTAAAGAATAATTTTAGTGTAACCGTAGCTATCTATTTTTCTTCTCGCCCTCTGGGGCTTGATCTGTTTCAGCATCACAGGGACACTTCTCCACACAGTTTCTAGGGAACCAGCCTCGTATCCTTGAAACACCTGAGGAAGAAAAATTGAGGTGAAATAGGTCTACGGCAATGATATTGCTGAGCCCCATAAGTCCTGTTACTCCAAATCAATAAGCTTTTAGTTATGCGTTACTTTTTTCGCCCTTTACCATCTTTTATAAGCATAATTTGAAGGAAAAATGGTTTTTAAATGCTTCTAACAAGCTAGAAAATCACTATTTCTCAAATTCTGTTACCTGGGAGAGGTGCTAATGTGGTTTAGGACAACCCCTATGGGGAGTCAGGGCAGAATGTCCCAGTTTGGGCATTCATTTACACATGTGTGATTGTGGGGTTTTTGGCACACTGTCATACTTTATCTGTTTCAGGGAACTATCTCCCCGTAGCTTCTGTGAATTTCCTTTCTAGGTTTTTTCCTAACACGTAAATTTTTATATCAAGGCTGCCCAAGCAGTCATATGGGGTTAATTAACAATTAACCCAGTGTTTTTAAGAAAGCATCCAGGATTAATCTTTACTTAAAAAGAAAACAATTCTAGGGGCACCAGGGTGGCTCAGTCGGTTGAGTGTCCGACTTTGGCTCAGGTCACGCATGATCTTACGGTTCGTGAGCTCGAGCCCCGCATCGGGCTTGCTGCTGTCAGCACAGAGCTTGCTTCAGATCCTCTGTCCCCCTCACGCTGCCCCTCCCCTGCTTACGCTGTCTCAAAAATAAATAAAAAACATTAAAAAAAATAAAAAGGAACAATTCTAAAACTTAAAATCAGAGACACGGAAAATTTCAATCCATCAGTTTCCATTAATACTTAATAGGAATATTCATTCACGGTGGGGAGCGTGTGGCACAGGCATCTGGGACACAGGCCACTTGGCTTGGAGCCCTGGCTCTAATCTGTTTTTAGGGCGGCCTTGGGCAACGTGTTCAGTCTCACTGCATTTTGGCTCCCTCGCCAATGACAGGTAAATGCTAGTACCTCCCTCAGAGGGCTGCTGGGGACTTGGATACCACACAGGAAGCGAGTGGCACTTCCACAAGTACCAGTCACACAGGTGACAATGAGCTCCAATATTGGCAACCATTAAAAAGACCGGAAAATAGAAGTGCTGTACAGAAATAACATAAGAAGCCTCTTTCTGTTGCTTGAGGATGTGTCTGTTATGTGCCCTGATGCATGTGACAAGTGACTGTTAGGGGTTATTCTTATTAAATATGGAATTATTACTAGCAGTCCTTTCTATTAACCCCTTCCATTTCCATACCTTCTACAAAGGAATCATCGAGAATTTTATCTCCATACAACCAGTATCTGAAATATTTAAGAGATTAAAATTAATTTTTTTAGGCGAGATGCTAACTTTGTCATTAAAGAAGAAATTCACTACTTTTATCACTTACCGTAACCCTCTTGTGGCCAAAATGAATTCCCCTCTCTGTAGCCTTATTCGAGGCTCTTCAGTGCAGGGACTTGTGAAGAAGGTTTTGATTCCCTTATTCAAAGGACAGCAGGCACCACTGTAATCTTCTATTACTCTATACCGAACCTGGCGTCAGTAATCAGAAGAACAATCTAACATTTACCCCTGAATTTCTGTAAGTTTGAATTTAAATTGTTAAAGGTGGACCCAAAGTATCAGGTGACAAGTCTTTCCCTCCCAGTTCCTTTATAGGAGGCAACTGATGTTTCTAGTTCTCCAGGCTTTTCTTACCCTTCATTTCAAGCACTTAGCTAAGAATTAAATTCTAGAACAGTGCTGTCCAATAGAACTTTCTGCAGTGACGGAAATGCTCTATATTTGTGGTATCCAATGTGCTAGCCCCTAGACACGTGTAGCTACTGAGCACTTCTAATGTGGCTAGTTCAACCAAGGAACTGAATATTTTATTTGATTTTATTTAATTTAAATAGCCACATGTGGCTAGTGGCCGTGATATTATACAGCAGAAGTGTAAGGATGGGTTTCACACTAACGAGCTAGATTGAGGATAATTATTTTTCTGTTGGCAATGTAAATTGACTACATTCCCTCCAAATGGCCAGTCCAAACTATGTAAGTGAAAGCAAAAGTGAACTGTATCAAATTTCAACAATTATGTTAGGAAATATTATTTAATAAAAGCCAACAGTTGCCTTCTACTCAAAGCCAATTTAAAAAACTATACAGAAGTGTAGAGCGTGACAAAAAGGAGAAAGAAACTAGTATCATTGCAAAAAATTACTTACACTTCTGACTCTCTTATCTGCTTTTTGTTTCAACTGTTCAATCTGGAGATACAAAAAGAAAAAACACGATCTCAGTGTTGAAAAACAGCCTTTTGCCATCTACTGCATCAGAGGGACATGACAAACTCCTGATTTTCAAGCATTTCACAGTGCTGACAATTCAAAGGCCACGTGTTTCTCATAGAGAGGAAAGAGGACCCTACGACTGCGAACAGGAGCTGATGGGCTTTTTTCTCAGTATCCTCTACCGTCCATCTGTGTCTACTCACTGAGTATTCCTTACAGCCCAGGGATCAGGGAGATGCGCTCTCTGTCCTCCTGGGGCTTCTAGGCTAGTCCCGGATGTGAGGATGACACACAGACTCACAGACTCTTTAGAGACAAGGCAGACAGACTGCGAGATTCATCCACGAGTCTCGACTAAAAGTCATCATGACGACTCACTTTTCTTGACTTATTTAGCAACAATTTAATAAATGGTACTATATGAGACATAGTAGGGGAAATCGAGGTAGCTCATGGCCTCTGTGCCAGAATCTTGTCAAATTACAGGTCTAAGATCTAAGAAATAAATAAAAATGTTAGACTTCACAAGCACCACCCAACAAACAGTACATGGTTAAGTGTCGAATTCCGATGAGGTGGGGCTGAAACTCGCCTTAATATTATTTCTGATAGGGAAGTCATGTGAGAGAGAAAAAACAGTATGGACAGAATTTGGTGGCAGGAACGCACAAGGAGTTCACTGAGGAAGCCGGGCTGACTGGACACGGTGATTCCCATTAGGAAGTAGTTGGGAGGGCAGTTGTAGGCCAGATTGTATAGAACTGAGTGAACGGATCACGACTTTATCTCACGCATATGGAGAATTACAGAGAGATTTAAATTAACAGAAAGACATGATACAAGGAGTGATTTAGGACTGTTACCTTAGTGCCTTACTGAAAAAAAAAATCATTATTTTACTACAAAACGTCATCTGAGTTAAGAGGAACTAGAGGAAGAAAATGAGACAGAAAGGAAAGATTGAACAGAAATACTCACTGTCAAGTCGTACTGGTGACAGCCTTCTCTTATCGGCCACGCGAGCCCATCTCCTTCAGGGACCCCTGACCATGTAAATACCTGTTTAAAGTTCTTCCATCTACTTCCCATATCGTAGGGAAAAACAAAGACTTCATCTAGTTGGTAATACTGAATTCGATCTTTAGCCTGTGGGGAACAGAGATGTTAAAGTGGCAAACGCCTCTGCCTTCACTGGCTTTAAGGAACATACTGTTGGCAGTATTGACAGTAATATACGTTTCTTCTCACATCTGTATCACTCCTAGAAAAGCTTCCTCCTTGTTGTAACGTTAGGGTACACAGAAGACATAGACAAATTTATCTGAAGAGGACCTTGCTACCCAGCACCAACCTCGTAGATCATTCAGGAAATGTCTTACAGGGCTTATTTCAGAACAAGTATTCAAAAATGCTTATTAAAAGAGTTAACAGCTTTATTCCACACATAAAAAATCCTCATTACTCCTGGTTGTTTAGCAAAGCAAAAGGATCCAGGTGTAAAGAAGGGCTGTTGATAAAAAGATTTAAGAAACAGCAGGAGTTTATGTAGGATAGAAGAACTCTTCCGTGGGGTGCTCTACAATGTAATGGTGCATCCTGGGTGGCAGCAACACCTGTGGGAATGGCCAGGGCAGGTGCACCAGGGGAGTCACCATTCTCTGATTTTTTTTTTTTTAATTAGCAGATATGTGCAGATCTTCTTTCATTTTTTATACCACCACACATGTATATACATTCACTTATATATGCATTTATACATACATTTTATGCATATACCTAAATATTCAGGTTGCATAAATTAATTGTTCAAATTTAATTGTTAGCTTTAACAGAAGGACATAAACTGGCTTAGAATTTCTTAAGTTCCACTGACACCTAGTGGTATAAAGATACATTATTTATTCCTATAATAAGCGTACAAACCCAGTTGAAATTTGTATAAATTCTAGTTGTGGTGATTTCGATAAATTTTCTATGAACTTAATATAATCATTTATTTGTATTTTTTACTTGGCAACAGAGTGCAGTTTTAAAATACGCTCTAGGGGCACCTGGGTGGCTCAGTCGGTTGAGTGTCTGACTTTGGCTCAGGTCATGATCTCACGGTTCCTGAGTTCCAGCCCCACATCGGGCTTGCTCGCTGCTGTCAGCACAGAGCCCACTTTGGATCCCACCCCCTCTCTCTGCCCCTCCCATGCTAACACTCTCTCAAAAATAAACATTTAAAGAAATATTACAAATACAATAACTTCTAAATTTAGCATGGTATTCTATAAAGAGCCTTGGCCATTCAAAAAAAATTATTAATATAATCAGGATATATTATGCTAACTAGAAATGGTACCTTGAAATATTTTATTATCACGGGACAGTATTTTAGGGAAAACTTCTCGCAATTACTTATAAAGTAATATTGATGTTAATTCAATTAAAAGAATTGTCAAGCTATATGTATGTATGAATCTACTGAACTATATAAATCCCCACCCAAAAAGTAAAGGATAATTTATTTTCTTTTTATAAAGCTTCAGAGTCTTCACAACGGATAAGAGTCTCAAAGAACAGATTTCGGCTCTTAACAAACAAAGCATGGTTAAGGATGAGCGTAGTTTGTTTGTTTATTTATTTATTTATTTATTTTCCAGAATTGAAAACATTTTACTTACTTTCTACAAAGCATCTCATGAAAAGCCACTATACGCATCTATGATCACACAGTTTAATTTTATGAAGTTCAGATGAAGGGCTTTGTAAGTTCAGAGTAAAAGCTTTAAATGCAAACAGCTGTAGATAATTCTCAACTTCTTAGTTCTGTGATAAATCCATTCACTGGGATTCATGCCTTTATATAAAATGTCCATAAGTGGATTTTTCAGAAGTATACAAATCGCTTTATATAGGAAATCCTATGTACAGATCAACTATTTGACTAGATTTTGTATATAGACTATATTTCACATCTATTCCTTTTTCTATTCTCAGGATGAGTGCAGTTTAAACATGACTGAGGCATGGTCTCTGCCTAAGAGAAGCACTCGGTGAAGTTGGGGGGATTCTAGCAATACTGTGTTAAAAGGTAACAGAGGTATGTGATAGATGCTATGGGAAAGGCAAACAAGGTACTTAAACTAGTGTAGGGAGAGTGAAGGAAGGTTCTTAGGAAGAAATGGCACCTAAGCTAAATCTTGAGGGACAAGAAATCAGGCAAAAAAGAGGGAGCAAGAGTGTCCTAGGCAGAGGGAATGACATGTGGAAAGATACAGAAGCACAGGATGTACAAAATATAAGTTGTGGTTTCTGGTATTAGTTGGTATCGAGAGTGCAATGGGGTGGGGAGGGGTGGGAACTGCGGTAGAAGAAACAGGTAAGGGGAAGACATGAACAGTTTGATTATGTATAAGCTAAGGAGCTTGGACTTAAACCTGTCTATCCGCGGTTCTCAAAGTACGTTTTGCGCAACTCTTCGAGTCCCCAAGAGCTTTTCTTGGGGTCCAACAAAGTCAAACAACTTTCATCATAATACTAAGATGTCATTTGCTTTTTTCATTGTGTTGACATTTGCCATAGTGGGTAAAATTGCCAGTACCTTGAGCAGGAATCAAGACAGTGGCCCCCTCTGTATTAGTGATTATCATATTCTTCACTGGTACATACTCATAGTTAAAAAAAAAAAAAACCCAAACAAAAGTTTTACATAAGAATGCCCATGATGAAGCAATAAAAATTATCTTTTTTATTAAATCTCAACCTCAAGTAGATGTCCTATGAATATTCTGTGTGACAAGATGGAAAGTGCACATAAAGCATTCTGAAGTGTTTGTCTCAAGGAAAACATCTGTTTGAGTTGGGACTAACAAAAGCTGTGGAGCCAGCTTCTTTCACACAACGCTATTTTTACTTGACAGAATGAATAATGAAACAAAGTAAGGTTACTGAAATGTCAGTACCTGGCAGAAATTTTCTCAAAAATGAACAAACTCAAGCTGTTACTTCAATGTAAACAACTGAAAAAATGAAGGCTTTCAAGTGAAAATTAGAATTTTGGAAAATCTGTATCCATCACTATGAGCCTGAAAGCTTTCCAGAATTTAAAGATTTTCCCCCATAAACTTGGTAGTGATGTGAATGAATGTGTCACCATTTGGAAAATCTTCATAACTCTGTGAAACTGTATTTTCCAAATGGCCAAAACCTGGTGCTATAAAATCTTGTATGGGTAAAAGGCCCATTCACAGAGCAAGATGTACTGATGCATTTGAATGTAAAAAAATACAAAGTTTACTGATGTATCTTCACATCTCCCATGCAACTAACCTTTCAGGAACTATCACCTGTCAAGTTTCAATGTAGTATCCAAGAATATCCACAATTATCCAAAAAGCCTATTAAAATACTCTATCCTCTTCTATCTACTTATCTGTGTCAGGCTGGAATTTCTTCACATACTTCAATCAAAGCAACATATCTCAACAGACTGAATGCAGGAGATGTGAGAATCAAACTGTCTTCTGTTAAGTCAGATATTAAAGAGATTTATAAAAATATAAAACAATGCCACTCTTCTCCCTAGTTTTCACTTTGGAAAATATACTAAGTTTTAAAAATATGCGATTTTTATTAACATACAATGGCTTTATTATTGTTATTTTTAAATGAAATAATAAATCTTCACAATTTTTCTCACAAAATATGGCAATCATCGATATTACACAGACTAACCAAAGTTCTTTAGGGCCCTTAACAATTCTCAGGATGTAAAAGGGTCCTGAGACCGAAACATCTGAGGGCTGCTGCTATAAATTCAAGTCCACAAACTGGCTGCCAGGGGCTAAATGTGTCCCATTGGTGTGTTTTATTTGGCCCACAAAGTGTGTTTGTTTTTAATGAGAATTTCTTGCTAATATTTAAAAATAGAAAAGAGATGTCACAGAAATCCAGATCTCTTGCTTTCCTTGAAAAACAACGAGATGATCTCAGGATACTGGCTGAGTATCCCCTAAGGCAACATTCAGCTTCATCTGTTAGGCAGCTCTGTACACAGGCCAGTTCCTGGGTTATCTACCGGCTGGCCCTACAGGCATTTGGGTTTGTAACCCATGCTCCAGTGATGGTGAGGCTCTGAGCAGCTTTAAGCAGGGAGCGGAGTAGTCAGACTGATTTTTTACAACAGAATCACACTGGAAACATTGTGAGGTCTGTGGCAAGCTATGCTATAATCCAGGTTTATAAGGTTTTTTTAGTTTACTTAAAGCACTAAAAAAAACACCTTAATGGCACCTCGGTAGGACAGAAGTTCCTTTCCAAATGGTCTGCCTTCTCCCCTAACCTGAGAAAGAACGGCCAAATGGTTTAATGTGTGGTTTAGACTTCTTCACCAACTCCAGGGTGAACGAGAAGCAGATTTCTGTGGGAGTTATGTCAAATAAAGAATAAATCAAAATGTTTCCTATATTTACCTTTTATGTGGCATGCAAATGACTTAAGGAAGCCATCTGGTAGTCAAGTTTTTACTTCTGGGCATCTATTAGTTAATCTGGCCTATGACTAATCTTTATTGATGTTGAGGAAACAATTATTAAAATTTACCTTTTCTTCAATCCATGATTCAATAGAAGTTTTGTTTCTGAGAATTATTTTCATCTGAAAATTAAATAATGAACAGTAAAATTTTATGATGAAACTTTGCTCCATTTAAGATTATCATCTTCATAGTAACCCTAGGAGATAGTTTTTGTTGCTCTGTTCCATTGATGAAGATACCAGGATAACAGAGGTTAAGCAAGACACTCTGTGGTCCATCTGACTCTAAAGTTCTTGTTCTTAAGCACTGCATCACAACGCTTCTCCATAAAATGATTACGGCAATCCATAATCAAATCTGAATCTACTATTTTGATAAAAATTCATGTTTTAAGTACTATCTTCTGATCAAGGTTTCCAAAGTATTAATAAAATATGGATATAATCCACTTAATCAGTACTTGTGTATTTTGTTACTAAAATCTATCACTATTTTTAATTAACCTTAAATTTATGATTATTTATTACATGAAAGTGACTCATATCATCCCAACATGACCAGATATTCTGCTTACCTTAAAAACCCAATATATTCAGTCTTGATTCTATTAATTGACCCTCCTAGCTAGGACTAATTCCACTGATGTGGGTTTTTACACCACAGGGTTTTAGTGTATTTTTAATATGATTCTTAATGAGAGGCACCGGGGAAATTTTTTCAAAGAATTTGATCCCAGGCTAATAGAATATATGAAGTACAACCAAAATCGGCGTATTTTAAAACTATGCGTGTAAACGGGTTTGGCGATGCATCAGAGCCCTCAGGTCCAGCATTTCGGCCTTTCCTCGAAGTCTGGCTGGGTCCGTACAGACACACCTTTGGGCAAGGAGTCCCCTTCGTGTTCCTAGGCTAAGGCCTAGCACAACACCTGGCCTACAGCAGGCCTTCGATTAATGAATAAACTAACTCAGTGAAAGGAATGAATCATAACCACTTTGTGATCTCTTCAGGGCCACATCCTCCTCCTCTGTGTTCTCACAGCACTTTGTACATAAATCTATGACACTCACACCACCCAGTATTAGTTGCATGTTTACTACTAATTGTGAACTTCCCTAGGGGCAGGACGCTTTTCATTTTCATTACTGTACTCTCAGAAATTAGCAGAGTAATTCATCAGAGTAGGCATTAAATAGCATCCAAATCAGAGGGTTGTTACTGAGATTAAATGAGTTAATATATGTGATGTCCTTAAGACAGTGTCTTGCACATAATAAGTGTGCAATAAACGCTGGCTATATTATGATGATGATTAAATATATGCTGTTATAAAATAGTATTACCAATTATGTTTACTGAATACATGCGTGAGTGATCTTGGGTTAAGTCACTTTCTGTGATTTGATTACTCTTCTGTACGGAAGGGAAAATACTCCTCTTCAACTCTTTCTGGGGGGGTTGATGTGAAGATCAAGAGAGACCATAAATGGGAGAAGAGCTTTCTCAATTATAAAGCGATACAGGACTCCAAGTTAACATTCTAGAAATTAAGTAAGTTACCTAGAAATGCTGGCAAAGTTACTTCAAAATTATCTGACTAGTCCAGAGGTTAAATTAGTTACCTAGATGGAATACATTACAATAATGTCCACTTCACACTGCATTCTTAAATGCAGCCTTTATCTCTTTCTCATTATAGGCAGCCCCGATAAGTTGACAACTTTTAGCTAGAGGTAACCAAGGAACTTACCTGGATGAAAAACAACATCCCAACAGCTATGGTTGTTCCTAAAGCTAATCCCAATGCAAACAGGGTGGCCGCGAATGCTGCTAATCCAAAGGGAATAAGTGGAAGAGGATCTCTGCGGGCCGCACTCATATCAATCTTTACCGTGTTCCACCCAAAGGAGAGCTACAAAGAAAAACACACACTTGAAATATTCAGTTGTCATAAAGGGTCAGATGCTACTGGAACATTTAAAGCCACTTGATCAAAAAAGATCAACAAATGATAACCTAAAGCGGTGGCTAAAAGCAAACGAATTTCCAATTTGTTTCTAATTACTACTGTGGCCTCAACTCATACTGATATGCGCAATATCGGTCTTAGTTATTTTCAAATGTCACTTTTTTTGTTTTTAATTATTTCCTTGAAAGCGCAGGGCACAGCCCACTAACATTACTATGTATGAACAGCACTAGTCATCAGTCTAAATTGTGACTGTGGCGTCCATCTTCTCCTGGCTTTTCAATATTTACAGGAACCTTCCACAGCAAAAAGATAGCCGAGGATTCAGTTGTTTCTTCCCTCATGTTCCACAACCAGAGGTTAAAAACAGGCAAAAGGCAGGCCAAATATGGCCTGCAGATGCCTATTGCCCAGCCTGCAAGATGTTTTAAAATATTCAGCCAGGTGCCAACATTTAAAAATCAGGAGACACTAAACAAAAAAATGCAGATTTTCTAATTTTTCCTGAAAGACTGGAAGATCTAGTATTATTGGACTAGATTTGCCCATCTGTGAAGGGCAAGTGTTCTCGGTGTCACAGTCCCATTAGACCTATGAATCTCATTTACTTTCAGGCTTCTTTAGGGACTTAAATTTGTGACCCTTGAACTTTATCTCATGACTACCTGACCATAAATCAACCAAAGCTTTTACATATTTTAGGACATGTGCCTGCTTCATGAGGCACCTTCCAAGGCACTGGAACAAAAGAACTACACCTTGCCACACGAATCAAATGGAAACAAAATATTAGTGTTTGTCTTTTTCTTCCTGTTCCTTTTCTTCTAGTTATTCTTACCACAGCTATAAAGTGTGAGATCAAATAAATTATATATACACACGGTAATAAAATATTATCAACTTTGACTACAGTTAGTAAGTTTCCAAAACAAAATAATTTTTCCTCATTTTAAAAATTAAATTTTAGTACTTTCTTTAAATATGAAATTTATTGTCAAATTGGTTTCCATACAACACCCAGTGCTCATCCCAAAAGGTGCCCTCCTCAATACCCATCACCCATCTTGTCCTCCCTCCCACCCCCCCATCAAACTCTCAGTTTGTTCTCAGTTTTTAAGAGTCTCTTATGCTTTGGCTCTCTCCCTCTCTAACCTCTTTTTGTTTTTTCTTTTCCCTTCCCTTCCCCTCCCCCATGGACTTCTGTTAAGTTAATTTTAAGAATTAAATTTTAGTACTTTTTTTTTTTTAAAGAAATTCATACACAGGTAAAGCAAAATTGTTTCCCGACCTAAATCATAGAAATCTTATTTCCCAATGGGACTCCTGAAATAGTAACTGCCATTTAATCTGGCATAAGTGATTTTATAACAAACGTTGTCACTTACCCGATTATAAAGCTGGGTATACATAGTCATAACAAAAATGAAGGCAGCATGAATACAACCCAGCGGTGCTAAAAGGAGAAACAGTGTGAACGAAGCATGATTTTGGAAACCACAACAGTTGTTGATCCAAGGACAGTGATGGTCCATCTTCAGCACACATCTAACAAGAAAAATTTACGTAACACATGAGGCAAAAAATCCAATCTACTTTAAATCACTTTGGTCTTCAGAAGATCAAGCAAATAGGAATCTAGCATGTCTATGAGTCACAGAGGAATTATACTCTATGGAACAGAAAGTAAAGTCTTTATGAGTTTTTAAACAACTTTGACCAGTGACTTCTTTCAATTTCTAAACAGCACAAGAAAAGGCAGGCTTTGTAACAGCTTCTGAGGAAAAGACGTCTCCTATAAGGGAGTTTGCTTAAAGAATTCAGGAGTCCTGCTAAGAGGTTCATCATAGAGAAATAAGCATGGGTTCCAGATTTACCTCTAGCTCTGAAATGCAGTGACTGAAGCGGAGTACAACAGAGACCACAAAATCTCCACTGGGGTGGATGGGACCCAGCAGACCTAGACCTAACTTCCTTCCTTCCTTCCTTCCTTCCTTCCTTCCTTCCTTCCTTCCACATCCTTTAGATGTGGAATCTCTGAGCTAAGCATACTAACTATGGAATATAAGGTGTGGTATAACAAGCAAAGTCTTACTGAGCTTCCTTCCCTTGTTGCTAGAAGAAAATTTCCTGGCCTCATACCAAACGTTTATTTGCTACAAACGTTCTCCTAAACCTCAACACTCTTATCACATACTTCTAATTAGTGGAATAGCTGTTTATTTAAAAAAGATTTTGTTTCCTAAGGTAACTTTAAATGAAGTTGGCGTCGACTCCTGATTTCAGCTCAGCTTATGGTCCCAGGGTCTTGGAATTGAGCCTTGTATCAGGCTCCACACTGAGCATTAAGCTGCTTAAGGTTTCTGCCCTCCCTCACCCTTTCCCCCACTTGCTCTCTTTAAAATAAAAATTAAGAAATTAAATTAAAAAATAAAGAGAAGTGCCTGGTAGATTTGGCATGATGGGTTCGCGTCCATTCAACCAGGTCCGATCTCATGATTCGAGAGTTTTGAGCCCGCTTCCGGCTCTGGGCTGATGAAGCTCAAACCCTCGTTCGATTCTGTGTCTCCCTCTCTCTCTGCCCCTCACCCGTTCATGCTCTGTCTCTCTCTGTCCCAAAAATAAATAAACGTTGAAAAAAAAAATTTTTTTTAAATAAAAAGGTACCAGTTTATTTCATATTTTTATAGTGATTCAGTTTTCTTTCCATTGCTTTTTTTTTATATTAAACACTTGTGATAATATGCACCTGAATTCATTTATTAGATATGGATAAAGTGTAAATGTTAGTCAACCAAAATAATGGAAAAAGCAGGTCTCCTTTATAGTTTAGACTCAGAACAATTCTAAAGCTAGTTAAGATGACAGAAGACAAGCATGATTAATCCTGACCTATAGAAACAACTTGGAGGCATAACTTTTCACTCTTGGCAGGGTAAGAAGCAAAGTAAACGTGTATTTTTCCAAATAAGTAAGTAAGTAAGTAAATAAATAAATAAATAAATAAATAAATAAAAGCTTTTCACTTATAACAAAAAAGAGTGAGGATTATTTACTTATTATCAGAATTGATAACTTAAGACTACAATGGAGATATGGACAGAAGTATTTTGACAGTGTTTTTTATAAAGAAGCCACCTTGCAGAGAATAAGACTAGGACTGATGTGACAGAAAGAACAACAACAGGAGACCAGTCACCACGTTGATCAGTCCCCAGTGAGTAGCAAAGACATACAGTACCTGTTACACTTTCTGCAGTGATGTGACCGTGGAGCCTTGTATGCTTGGCAGACTTTACAATACTGGAGGTACATGCTATCCTGAGAATTTTCCTTGATAGCAAAATACAAACAAAAATCCATCAGATATCTGATCCTAAGTAATAGGTTAAGCCTTATGAAAATGCTTTCGTAAGGTTTGATTTTATGGGGGATGGGGATAAGGATGGAATCTGACCTTGCTTATTTCCTGCCCTTTTATCTGAGCAGAAATACTTTTAAATAATGAATTTCTGGTAACAGCAGCATCACTATTCCAATTACCCAGAAGTCACTTTTCATTTCTCTTCCCCATGCTCCACCCAAACCCATCATCACTGATTTTAGCTGGTTTTACTTTTCCAAAATCTTTGTAGAATCTTTGTAGGAGTTCAGAAAAAAGGTAGCTGTAAACTTGGCAGGTATTTTGAAGTGGATATTCAAACATCAGAGTTGATACTCTTTAGGAAATCTGGTTCCCCACCCCTCCTTGCACTATTTCAATCATTTCAAACTACTGTCCTGTACTATAGTTTCTCTCCAATCCAAACTATTGTCAGAATAATATTCCTACAACATGACTCTGATTATGTCAGAGCTTCACTTGAAAACCTCTAATACCTTCCTATAGTCTAAGAATTCCTCATGTGTTTAAGGCCCTCCAGAATCTGCCTTTGTTTCAGCCTTATTTGCAGTACATAACCCGTCCGTCATTTCAGACTATATGCCTGAAATGCCTTCTTTCCCATTTATGGAAATTTACACTCCTCCTTCAGGTCCACAGCTAAAAAGGCTCACTTCCTTCTAGCTTCAACAGCACTCATCACATTCTTCTCCATAGTGTAATTACTTACACAAGTTACCTTGGTTTCTCTCCTCAATTATAAGATTTTTCAGAACAAAAATTCGTCTTACTCATCTTTGTACTCACTTTAAACAGAACACTAGTGTTTCTCCAACACAATGTACCTAAGAATCATCTGGGGATTTTGTTAAATGCTGATTCTGATTCGTAGGTCTGGAGTGGAGCCCAAGATTTTTCATTTCTAATAAGCTACCAGGTGGTGCCCATGAGCAAGGAATATGGAAATTCATGAGTATAAACTTGCTACAATTTTTAAAAAGCCATAAATTGATTCATACTGTTACTTCCTAATGTTATGATTTTAACATTGATTTGAAAACTACGATTTAAGTCACCAATTTCTAAAGACTTGTTCTCAGTTCTGAGGGCTGTTAATGTATTACATAAAAAAAGATCCTAGGGACGCCTGCGTGGCGTCCGACTTCGGCTCAGGACGTGATCTCGCAGTTTGTGAGTTCGAGTCCCACATCAGGCTCTGTGCTGATGGCTCAGAGCCTGGCGCCTGCTTGGGATTCTGTATCTCCCTCTCTCTCTGCCCCTCCCCCACCCACGCTCTCTTTCTTTCTCAAAAGCAAATGAACATTTAAAAAAATTAAGAAAAAAAAAGATCCGAGCCAAATTGCATTGTGAAATTATAAGATCCTAGCCAAATTGCATTGTGAAATTATATGCAGTGGTTCTTAAATTTAGGACTATGGACTCACCAGCCCCTCCATTTTTCTTTTTCTTTCCTTTTAATGAAGTACAAGTATTCAACAAAATCTCTCTGGGAAGCACTGATTTAGATGAATATTTTCAAGTAGATACAAAATAAATTCTTTGACTTTAAATGATCAGTAATTAGAATATGCTTAGTCTCTACCAACGCAAAAAGTATGTTGTGTTTGATATTATTGGTTAGCAGATAAATCATAAACTAAATATATGATTATCATTAGAGTTCCTTATCTTAAGAGATCTTTTTCTTACCGGTTTCCACCCCAAAGGGACAAAGCCAGGACCAATAAACATGGCATTGAAGTAATTATAAAGAATCATGACAGTCCAATTTATCAACATGATGAAATTCACGCTTCCTCCAGTTGTATGTAAAGGCCAATACCACAACACAGAGTCAATCATGGCCATCGTAGAACATATTGCTATAACACCAAGGGCTATGATGGGACCCCAGTGACACAGTCTCTTTAATTCTTGCAGATTTTCAAACTTTATAACTGAGCAGAATGCACCCATTTTGGTGAGGAAGAATGCCTTCCTACTTTTAGAAAATCACAGATTTCCTTTTTCTGTGCACACATTTCCATGTGCCACAAGTCCATGAGTGTTCCTTAATTGTCATGCCTTCAAGTTGTGGGATGTTAATGCAGATTATGACATTTCCACTGTTACACACTCAGAGCTCTTTATCTTAACTAGAAGAATCCAGTATCTTGGCTTGAAACCCCATCTAAAGAAAACAAAATGAGAAAGTTCAGTGAAAAAATTTTATTATATACCATATTTAACTCCAATAACCACTTAAACAAAAGCATCTCACATGTGCTATGGAATGAGTACCTTATCAAATGGCAAAAGGAACTGCCAGTAAAACCTTGGTTTGCGAGCATAATTCCTTCCGGAAACATGCTTGTAGTCCAAAGCACTGGTATATCAAAATGAATTTCAAGAACCATTGACTCAGTTGTGACCATGTGACATTCCACATCACCTACTACTCCTATTGCAAGACATTGCTCATTTACCGAGTTAAAATGTATTGGAAATGTTTGCCCCTCTTGCGGAACATTTGCAGAACAAGTTACTCCCAATCCAAGGTTTTACTGTATTTTTATCTGATCCAAAATAGGGCTCAAGTCTGAACTGCGAGTAAACTGGATACGTGATTCTAAAATAGTTGTTTTTATTTCTTTGTTTCCAACCTGACAGGTAACTGTGATTGTCTTTAGTGGGTGGTTGGAGGAGACTGAGAATTTTAGAGCTGGAGCAGGGCTTTAAAGGTTGACTGAATCCGGAAATTGGTTTGGAAAGGCTAAGCGATTGCACAAAGTTCACAAGTAACAGCTGAACCTAGACTAGAAACCAAACCATCTAATTCCTTTCACAGAGCTCTAAACTGCCTCTTGCCGAGTCTCGAAGTGTCAAGTATGAGCCCGGCAGGGTCTACACATTTGCCTGCGGTTGCCCCCAAACCCCAACATAAGGATCTATTTGGGCCAAAGGTAAAGAGGCGAGCGAGTGAAAGCAAAGCCAGAGTGAAAGGAGGGGAGGGGCGGATCGGGGAGACAGAGGTGTGTGCGAAGTCGTGACTGGAGGCACACAAGAGAAGGAACATGGATTAAAGTATTTGAGAAAAAAAGATGAGGAAGTGCCTCTGGAGCGAGGGGCAGGGAAGGCGGGCCGGCGAGGGCCGGAAGATCGGTGGAAGGGTATTTCCGACCAGACTGCAGTGAGTCAAGGGAAGAGCTGAGTTACAGGGTAATAACGACTTTCACGCAACAGATGCCATCGCCTTGTGCCTCAGTTTCCCGCCCGTGTCTGGAGCAGAGCGCTTAGAAATCCTCACTCGGGGGAGGACCGTACTGGCAAGCGTGGCTGGTTTCAACCTTCTGGAGATTCTGGGCTCACTCGGATGGGGTGAAGACGGCCAGAATCATAGTTACATCCCTCGTCTTGACTCCCACCTCAGTTTGGTCCTTGGTGCCCGCTCCTCGGCCATCGCATTTCCGGGGCGGCCTGGGCTCACCCGGAACAGGTTTTCTCCTCCTCGGATAACTCCATCATGGGTACCTCAGTCCAGCGCAAGCAGAAAGCAAATCCCGGTTGCAAGAAGCTGGAGTGCGGGACCTGCCCCCACCAGTCTGCCTCTCTGCCAGCGCTCTCTCCGCTGCTCTGCTGCTCCCGCCCGGTGCGCGGTCTCCGTAACAGCCACTTCCGGCAGGTTCGCCGCATCAGACTTCCCTCGGGAAGCAGGTTCCTGGGACTTAGAGCTTGGGGAGCCAGAGCCGCTTTCCAGAAAGTGGAGGGGCCAAAAATGCTTCCAGTGATCCATGAGAACGCGCAGATTTTCGGAGGCTTTGGGGGGCACTAACAGAAGTGCTTTTCCTTAGCGAATTTTTTTAAATCTTGGAAGTCCGAGCGGGCAATTAAAAACGCATGCAGGCCAATTTCCGGAGGACTGAGATTGCGACGAACAACCAGGAAGCGGCCCGGCTGGGAGCTGTCCCCGGTTCTCCGCTCTGCTGTCGAGGCCGCCTCCGGGGTCCTTACACCGTGTTCCTCTGTCCCGCGTGGCCTCTGCCACGACCTGGGCCTCGGCCCGGGCCGATCACTCCGGAGCCGCCATGTCATCCGATTTCGAAGGCTACGAGCAGGACTTCGCGGTGCTCACGGCAGAGATCACCAGCAAGATTGCGAGGGTCCCTCGACTCCCTCCTGGTGAGAGCCCTGACCCCGGCCGCGCGGGGGTGGCCCCGAGGGCGCCGAGGCTCGCGGGCTGTGGAGCGTCTCTGAGGCGCTAGGTGGTTCAGGGGCCCTTCCGGGGCGAAGCAGTCTGACCTGCTTGAGGGTAAAGGCAGAATCCAGGCTGGGTTGTGGAGTGCCGCGAAAAGAGCCTTCGGTATTTGAGCCTTCTGGGCTGGAATCTGGACTTCGCCGCCTTGTTACTTGTACAACCTTGGGAACGTTTCTCTGAGTCTTCGTTTTTTGTTCTATTTTGTTTTGTTTCATTTGTAAAATAGAGATGTGAGTATTACAAGAGAATGAATGAACGTACCTAGATCGTAGGTCTGCAATATGCACTACCGTTGTTTTGTTAGTAATAATACTATTACGTTCGGCCAAGTAGGATTAAGAGCTATGGTGCCTGGATTCAAAACCCCACTCTGCCACTTAAGAGTCGTGGCACTTAAAAAGTTTCTTAAACCTCTCTCAACTTTCCTTCTTGGTAAAATGGTGAGAACTGTACATGTCAATAGAGTTGTTGTGGAGATTAAGTGATTTAACATAGGGAAAGCCCTTTTTTGGTGTTAGCTGCTATAATCGTTAGTATTTTTCATACCCCCAACCCCATTTCTTATTTCTCATCCTTCTTGGAAGACTGCAACCCACTTTTATGTAAAACTTGGTACAGGATAATTTTTCTCACTTTTAGGATTCCACATATCCCGTCGAGAAGTGTTCTTGTTCTTGTTTTAGAAGTTTTAGCATACTTTACTTGCCATGCTAATCTGTCAACTCTGAATGTGGGAGCTATGTTTGATTTCCTTGGCATTTACTTAGAAAGAGCTCAGAAAGACGTTTAAGTAAATAAACAGTTGAATATAAATATACTTGGGTTTTTTTTTTTTTTTATTCTGAGACATTGTTTTAGGATTTATCTTTCTCTAAGTACATATTTAATTTGAGTAGTTAGTTGCAGGTAAGATTGTTACTTGTGGCTTAGTTTTACTGGGGAAACTGAACTGTCTTCTGCACTTGACCCTACCTTGGCTCTGGGGTATAGTGTGCAGAAAAGAGGGTGCTCACTGATCTGTGAACTAGTGGGCAGCTTCCCTATTCCCACCTTGTTAGTCAGTCCTTGATGCCAGAATAATTTCTGCTGGACCTAAGTTGTCGTTCTTCTTTCCCTTTCCCTACTTCCCCCAAACTTGTGTGTTTATAAATAATGTTCTTCCTTTATTTCTTCGTTTTTCTTTCCCCTCCCCTGACCCTTTTTCTATTAATAGGGACATTTGCTTGAGACCAGGATCTCTGAACTGACACCCCACTCATCCCCTGAAGTCCCAGTTAGTTCTGGAGAGGTGGATGATGTCTTAAAGAGGTTTATGAGCCCAAGTGAGGGAACAGGAGGAGAGAATCAAGGTGGCGTACCACCAAGCTCTGCTGCCTCAGAGACTTTCGTGGAGAGAGTGGCTGATGGCCTCATCACTTCATGATACATCACCTCGCCTCTTCTCTTCAGTTGCTCTTTTCTCCACTGCCCAAGACCATCTTGATTTTTGTTGTCGGTGTTGCTGGAGGCGACTTCCTTTGACTTGAGTTCCAGAGTCGCAGAGTATCAGGACTTGTGGTTTCAGTTGGATTTTTGTTCAGTTTTGATTGTAACAGTTTTAACAAAGAAGCATTTTCTGTTTGGGCGAATAGCTTTTGTGTTAAGAAGGTGTTTTATAAAGTAACAAAGTCATACATGGGTGCAAAGTTGTAAAAGCTGTTTCCAAGAAAACAGTTTTTGTTACAGTTTTCTTCTTCCTCGTCTTTATGTTTTAATGTAATGATTCTTACCATTTTGAAGGAAACCTCTGATTTAGGTACCTTAAAAATAAAGCCTTGACTCACCTTACGTATAGTGTGGCGTTAGGCCCAAACATAGCAGTTACATTGGAATTGAAAAAGGACCGTAGAGCTGGCACTGGAGAAATGCTTACTGACTTGACTAATTGAATGATAGTAATTCTTAAAAATGTAGTAGTTTTCCTCTTAATAGTTACTTATACTTGCTCTCTTTATAATCTGTTTCTAATTGATAAATAGAAAAAATGAAAAAATATATCCAGTGCAGTTATGAATTTCAGATATGTCTCTGGACCATCAGTGTGTACAGCCATGAGAAAAACAGTATAATTAAAAGTAATTACAGTCCCTCCCCATCAGAACATCATTAGTGGTTGACTTAGAGGAGATGAACTGTAATTTACTTGAGTTAAAAAGTTTACAATTGGAACACACTTCACAGCCAAAGCAGTTTATTTCCCCAACTTATTAACTTATTTAAATGGAAGTAGAGTGAGTAGAATTGATCGCTATGAACTTTAACCTGTGCTGTGCATACACAATGTATTAAAGTGTTACTTCCAGAGAGAATAGAAAAGATGGAGTACTTTAAAACTTTATTTTATAAAAGAAATTTGATTACTCTGTGGTATGTTTTAAAACAATAAAGAGACTTTGTTCCTAGACTGAAGTGTTTGAATTTAAATAATTTTGGTACTTGGACTAATGAAACAGATCAGTCCCTCTCTTGGTAATATTCTTATGGCACTGTATTTGGAATTTAATTTTAATGATTAGTGTTCGGTGGTAAAGTCAGGAAAATGGATGGGTAGAAACATACCTAATACTAATTGGGAAGTTCCTTTTCTTCTGGTGATGAATCCTAAGTGGGAGGATGCTTTACAGGTACAAAGCTGCCATTACATCAGGGAGGCTTCCTCAAGAATCTTAAATAAAATGTTCTTTTGCAATTATATGCTTACTTCACCATTTGCAGAGAGATAAGTGATCTTTTGTGAATCCTACCACTTTGTGAGATTCACACATGGCACCTGTTCTGCTACTCGCGAGATGTTCAATCTTGAGCAAATTGCTTGGTCCCTTTAAGCCTGCTTCCTCCATCTTTAAATTGGCGAGAGGAGGTAATTGCTTCAACCCTACTTACAGTGTGGTAAAAATCAAATGAAAGAAAGTCTGGAACACAGTAGCACATTTTGTTTTCACCAGAAAAAGTGCGTGATAAATGAGCTATTAGCGATGTTATTAACACTGCTGAAGAACAGCTGGCAGGGTTATAGACAGGACCCAGCTTCTCAGACTTTGTGGTATTAATTAAACTCTTAAAGGAAACTTGGACCTCAATTCTTGCTTCCTTTTCTGCCTAGACTAGAGTTAGGTGAATCTCTCTTGAAGAATGCCTACATTTGAAAGGATGTGAATGATCACGGTCTTTTGGATGTGAAATGGAAATTGGGCTTCGAACTCGTGATATCTAGAAGGGAGGCAGGGGAAAGAAGGGAAAGTGATGGGACAAGACAGGTATCCTTTCTGGAAGAAAATTCTCAAGTCTTGCTCATGAGTTATGCCACTCCTTGGAGGCTTTTGGAAACCATCTAGGCATAGCTGTGAATGGAAGAAGCCATAAATGTTCCATGACTCTCTCTTGCCTCTGTAAGTTGTAGTGTTTGTAGGAGGGAGAATTCAGAAAAGTCTGCTTTTATTTATGAATACTGTGGTTTGCTTAAAATACATGTGGCTCTGGAGCTGTAATGTCCACATGTAGCTACTGGACACTTGAAATGTGGCTGCAGAGCGAAATGATAATATTTTGAATATATTGGGCTAAATATTACTAAAACTAAATATATACAGGTATTACAACTAATTTTACTTGTTTCTCTTTACTTTTTAAGATGTGGATACTAGAAAATATAAAATTTCATGTGCGATTTGCATGCATTACATTTCTGTTGTTCTAGAGAGTTAGAGTTGAAGAGATGGTTCCAGTTCTAGTTCAGGAACCCGGGTGCACAGTAAATTGAAATAGCTATACTCTAATCCCATACCCACACTCTAATCCCAGAGGGACCTCTTGCCCTTCAACAATTCAGTTAACCTGAGTAAAGCCTTCGTTGATTTTTTTAAAATAACTTTTAATTTTAGAACACATTTAGATTTATAGAAAAAAATCACAAAGATAATATAGAGAACCCTGTGTATCTCATGCTCAGTTTTCTTTATTAACATCTTATGTTAATATGATACATTTGTTGTTGCAGCCAGTGAACCCATATTGATACATTACAATTAAATGAAGTCTATGCAGTACTTTGTTCAGATTCCCTTTTGCTTTGTTTATTCGTTTGTTTTACCTGATGTCCTTTTACTATTATAGGATCCAATCGAGGATACTACAAGACATTTATTAATCATGGCTTCTTATGTTCTTCTTAGCTGTGACAATTTTCTCAGGCTTTTCTCTAGACTTCAGTTTGGAGGAGTCCTGGTAGGACATTCTCTAGAATGATCCTCAGTTGGGATTAGCCTGATGCCTTTCTCGTGATCAGACTGGAGTTACAGGTTTGGGGGAAGAAGAGTACAGAAATAAAGCATGATTTTCATCACATTCCATCAAGAATATATACTGTAACTTAATTTATCACTACTGATGCTAACTTTGATCACCTGGCTGAGGTAGTGTTTGTCAGGTTTCTCCACTGTAAAGTTACTCTTTCTCCTCTTTTCCATATTCTTTGGAAGGAAACCATATGCATAGCCCACACCTCAGGAGTTGGGCATCAGACTCCACCTCCTCGAAGGCTTAGCATCTGTGTTAATCATTTGGGATTCTCTGCAGGGGAGATTTTGTCTGTTCTTCTCCATTTGCTTATTCCGTCATTTATATCCACGGATTCATGCTTTTATTTTTTTCTTCTCTTGTATTCCAACACTACTTTATTTTGTTGCTCACATTGTTCCAGCTTTGACCATGGGAAGCCCCTTCAGCTGGCTTCTGTGTACTCTTCATATACCCCTATTATTGCAGGTTTGGTTTTTGGTTTTTCCTTTTTAGCACTGTCTTACTCTCCAGGGTACTCCAACATCATCTTGTGCTTTTCCCATACCAGTCCTAGATCAGCCATTTCTACAAGGAATCCAACTTCCTT